TCCCTTTCTCAGCTAGCTGATTTGCAGAGTCTCTGTCACCCTGCTTCTTACCCTTGGCCTGTCTGAAGTCCACGGTCAACTGATACTGCTGTAGAGCGGCGTCTACCACCTGAGTGTAAGTAGTATAGGCTGGACTACCTATAATAGCTCTCCTGATAGACCACATCAGTCCCTTAACAAAACTATTTCACTTCTTCTCCTTTATATCCACCTCATCTAGAGCAAAAAGAGATAAGCGCATGAACTGCTACTCATACTCTGCCATTGTCATGTTCCCCTGCTGCAGATTAAGAAACTCTGTCTTCATAGCTGCCCTAACTGCATAAGGGAAGTACTTCTCATCAAAGCGAGTACTAAACTGATCATAAGTCAGTGACATCCTCTCCTCTATGGTGGTAATTAACTCCCACCACTGTAGTGCATCCCCAACTAGCTTGAAGGTAGCAAGCATCTGCTTCTGAACCTCCATGCACTGAACCAGACGAAGATGTTGCTTAATATCCTTCTTCCACTGATGAGCTACTTTTGCATCGGTGGAGCCTGTGAACTCAGGTGGGCTCCCCTTTATGAAAGAACTCCTAGCCTTTTCCTAAGTATCAGTCTGAACAACCGGTGCTGGTATCAGTGCCGGCTGTACCTAAGGCTGATTCCGAAGTACAGCTGTTACCCCTGCTTCTATAGCTCGAGCAATGAGGTCGTTGATGTGAGGAGGATACTCTGGATTTCTGCCCTGATCCTAAGCCTGCTGAACTTCCTCCTGCTCTTTCTGGAACTAACCATCATCCTTAAACCCAAGCCTTTGCTGCTCTTCCTTCATTTGCTGACGCCGTAGGAGATATTGTTGCCTACGTGCCGCTCTCCTTTCCTTTTTAGTTCCTTGCATGTTTTGTCCTTTTCTAGTGTTAACCATCTGTTAACACGGAAAGACAAACATCAGTACAATTTCTAAATGAACCGTAAATGAATACAATGAATCCTAAACTTAAGCTCTAATTAAGAGAAAACGCTATGCAGAAGTCTTATACGATAGGATCCTAGAGACACTGAACCTGGAGTGCTCTGATACCAACTGTGATACCCCTCGGATCAGAGACACAGGTTGATCAGGCCCAAGCCCAAACACGAGGGAATATCAAACAATTAATATTTAAAACGAACACGGAATACAAAAATGAAATAAGACATAAATAATTAAGAGCTGAAAGAAATCTAAGTTCAAAAATCCTTGAATAAAATAAAATTAAAATCCAAAAATCCAATCCTCCATAAAACCTCCAATAATTAAACAACTTGGGAATCCATCTCTAGTGGACCCCTAATAAAAATCCAAATTGAAATGAAACTACTAAAAGAACGTCCAAAGTAAACTATGGAGAGAAGTCCTATGTCGTCAGACGAGTGAGTGATAGTTTCTGCTCAGCACGATCAAGCCTACGACTGGAACTGTCGAACACCTGAAAAATAGAAGTGGGTCAGGGCCACGAACAAGTTCTATCCTACTACAATCCAAGCAGAGACTCGATACGCATGTACATCCTAACCAGCTCAATAATAACTATATAGTCCGTAAATATGTAAATATATATATATTCACACTAAAGGACTCTCACTGGATTACAGGCCGGTTTCAACCTGAATAGAGGCAACATACAAAACACACCTGAAGTGGGCATGTATACCTATGCCTAACAGGGTACACCTCCAACCATCATAGCCAGCTATGCATCCCAATGCATATATGCACCCTAACCATCGATCCTGAGACTCAAGCTCATATTGAGGTACCATAACAATATATTTAAAATCCATCCAGAATCTATAGAAGTGCCGCTCAACCATTCGTTGCCTTGACACTGCAAATTAATAGGATTTAACTTTTAGTTAATCCATTCTTTAATTCCATAGTAGGTCGGACTTAGCGTTTTTGAGCTAATCCCCCTAGTATGCCACCGTCCCATACTGGTGCAAACAATCCATCCATCCAGCAGTTGATAATACAGACAAGGAATGTAAATATCAACTAATGCATACATCCAATAATTGATAATTAAAATATCAAATATAAACATCAATTGTTCCATACTAAGCATGATAAAATCCTGTAATTTAACAGGCTTATTTGATACAACTCCACATAGTCCAATAATTGATAATACAGATCCTACATGTAAACATCAATTAATTCCAAGTAAGCATAATAGAATATATAAATTCACATGCTTATTTATAACCCTGGAACATGATTTAAACTACAAAAACATTTTCGAAAAATTGCTAAAACAATGATGAATAATTTTAATCCTCCATATCTAAAACAGTATGTATACCAATTTGTGTAAAAATTTTATACTGTTCAAACTCTAATACAAGGTAATTAATCAGGCATTAACAAGGCTCTTGGAAGTTTTAAATAAGCTCAGGACACCTCTGACAACCTCCAGTATAGCTTCTAATTAAACTGGAACATCAAAATCCAAGTATAGGAGTAAAATCCATCGCTGAAATTAAAAAAAAACAAATTGAAAATCCGCAAAGGAGTAGGCTCCAAAAAGATGTAGAGTAGGCTCCAATTTAAGGTAGAGGAGGCTCAACTTAGGTAGAGGAAGCTCAACTTTTAGGTAGAGGGGGCTTAACTTTTAGGTAGAGGAGGCTCAACTTAGGTAGAGGAGGCTCAACTTTTAGGTAGAGCAGGCTCAACTCCCTTGGAGCCACCTCTACATCATATGGAGCCAGCTCCACTTCAATGGAGTCGTCTCCATTAAAGGGTGCAGCCGCCTCAACTCTTCCCAACATTCGTCTTCTCTGACGTTGGCTGTTTTTTGACTTTCTGATTGTCCTTGCTAAGGTTCATAACCCTCTGTTCTAGGTTCTAGACAGTCCCAACAATTTATTAAATTCATTATGCATTAATTAACATCAATTAAAACATGAATTATGCAAGGAAATTTACAAACAAGCAACACCAATTCATGTAAAGGCATACTGTTATAATTGAAATTAACATGCGAACCATATTAATCTTTAATGTCTATTTACTCCTGGAGTTGCGTTAGGCATGTAAAGAACACGAGTCAAAGAGAGAGTTAGGAATAGAACTTGCCTTTGAGATTTTAGTTCAAAATCTCAGCGTTGTCTTCCTAAGGTTTCCAGCGAACGCTCTGTCTTCTCTCTCTGTCTTCTCCTTGGTTTAACCCTCGAACACACCCCTTTAATCTTTCCTTGGTTTAACCTTAGTCCTAGCTAAACCCTAAACAAAGTGTTCTGTTCCTCTCTGTTTCTCCCCGTCTCTTTTTTTATGTGAACATAGTTTACAAACCCTTGGCACACAGTTCTATTTATAATTCTAGTTTAATTTAGAGACGGGAAAAGAACCATTCATATTATATCTAAGTCGGCTAAATGTGAAGAACCTAAAACCCTAAAAAAAATAATAATAAAAACAATAAAACAATTAAATCAAATTTGCACGTAAACATATATTTAAGATAGAAAATAATTAAAACAAATACTCAATTAAATAATTCAAATAAGTACAACAAATAAATAAAACAAATACTGCAATTAACTCAATTAATTAACCATAATTAAAACAAATAAGCAAACTGCCAAATAAACCCATAAAAATGCAAAAATTACAATAAAATTATAAAATAAACTACCGAGACTATCCTTTTAAAATTAGGGGTATTACAGCTACCTATATAAAGATTTTGAGCCATTTTTACATCATAACTTAGATATCTTAATATATCTCATATCACATATCTTGGAGAGGAGGCTAGAGCTTAGGGAGACATACACTATTTGGGAATTCTTCCATTCTTCTAGTGTTTCCATCAAGAAGAAGATCATTCCTACCATGGAGATAGCCCTTGAGGGTTGGATGACTACATCAATGAGTGGCTAAACATCTTCTTGGGGCTAGAGTTAGCCTTAAGCATGCCTTCTAGACCTTGATGTTTTGTATTTTGAAGGGATTTATGTTATAATCTTGTCTTGACATTTGATTTATATATGAATCTTGTTTTTACAATGATTTGTGTTGATTAATACTTTCAATTGATCATTTCATTCTATCCATATGTCTATATATGCTAGAATAGATGTTCATGTGTTTATCTCTTGGTTTTGTGATATTGATGCATGCTTATATGTGTTGATGTTATGAAATCTAGAGATTGTCAAGGCATAGTGCTTAAATAGAATACTCTTGTGGTTTTTTTTATGGTTCATACTCATTTCTTGATGGATTGTGCCTCTACTTTAGTTTAATTAATTTAATTTTCATGTCCTTAGCTTAAATGTAGTGTAGTTACTTTACTTTCTTAGATGTGAGGATAATTCATACTTGTTGTGTGATGTTCCATACTTATGAATGCAAGTAGTATTATTCTCTAACTTGTTAGTGTATTAGTTGTGAGCTTAAATGAAGGAATAATGGCTTAGTTTGATATATTGTGCTATACACTAGGTTGTGTAGACATTATATTCTTAATTAGTCATTCATGCTTGTTGATTCAATCAATCACACTCTTTGTATTGCAACACATGCTTCCTCTCATTCATTACACATTGAGTGTATAGAATGGTGATGTTTAGTGGTGACCTCTCGATCCTAAGACCTTTCTTTCTTGTTCTCTACCCTTTATTTATTTTAATTGCCTTGTATTGAATTTATTTATATTGTAGTTTAATTAACAAATCAAAACACCTTTTGATCACTCGACCTACTAATCCAACTTTGTTTCCATATTAACATAGCTCTCAATCCCTTGGGACGATCCCTACTCACCCTAGTTATATTAGTAGTTAGAGGTAGTAGTGGCTTTTTATAAATTTAAGCTTGGCCACACTTTCATTGCAATTTGGGTGTACACGCGACAGCACACACCAAATTTTGGCGCCGTTGCCGGGGATTGATTTGGCAATGCCGTGTTTTGGAAACAATTAGGAATTAGTACTCTTTTGATCATGTTTTTACTTTATTTTTTTTAGTTACTTATTGTGTTTGTTCTTGATTGGCTAGGTGAATTGAGCAAAGGAAGTCAAGCAAGGGAGAATTGAAAAGCAATGAGCTAAGCTAAGTATAAAAAAAGGATAAATTGCAAGCTAAGAAAAAATTGAAAAAAAAAATGAATTAAAGTTGCTTAAGGACCCTTTGTGAGATCTTCTTAACTCAATCACTAGTTAAATCTTTGGCCCGCGTGGAGGCAATTTAATTTTCTTTGCATATTGTTCAAGCATGGGAGTATGGGATCATCGTATGTGGAGATTTATTGATTGATTTGTTGTGGGGGCGAAGTGCTTGCTTTGTTGATTTTGTTGTTGTGTGGTCTTAATCAACCCTTCGTCATTCTAGTGGAAAATCTAAAGGGTCATCTTTGTTATTTAGACCCGAATTTCATAGAACATCCGCCTTTCAACCAATTTCCTCTCAGAGTTCAAGCTCCAATTCCTCCAATGATCCTTTGTGATCATTACAACCTTCATGAATATCATTCACTAACTTGCATCTTGCTTCCTAATTTTGGGGCCAATCATTATGAAATTAAGCCCGAGACTATTCAAATGTGTCCACTTTTCTATGGCTTAAATGATGAGGAATCTTACAAACATCTTGATGAATTTCTTGAGATATGTTCCACCGTGAAATATATGAATATCTCGGAGGAAATTTTTAGGTTACTTCTCTTCCCATTTACTCTTAAAAATAAGGCAAAACATTGGTTCAACAATTTGGAGCCAAATTCATTAACTTATTGGATACAAATGCAAAATAAATTTTTGAAAAAATTTTACCCCGTAAGTTTGACCAATTCAATGAGAACCGCCATTAGAGAATTTTCTTATAGGGAAGGAGAACTTTTACATGAGGCTTGAGAAAGATTGAACGACTTGCTAAGGAAATGCCCACACCATGGCATTCCTAAATGGCAAGTGGTTCAATATTTCTATGAAGGTCTATCCGACACTCATAAGGACATTGTTGATACATCATGTGGAGGTTCATATTTTGGAAAACATGAGGATGATGTTTGGCACCTTTTTGAGAAAATGAGTGAAAATTCATTGCATAAGTCTCACACTTCTCGGGTGAGTCATGATCATATTAACAAAAAGAGAAATTTAAAAGTATGTTAAATTGAGAGTCCAATGGAGATTGTTGCCAAGGTTAAAACTCTTATTCAAAAACTTAATCAATTTTTATTGAGTAAAAAACCGATAACTAAATCATCTCCTCTTATTAATCATCATCTTCATCATTCTTGTGAGCCATGCATGACTTCTTCAAGTGTATTGCACACTACTTCCAATTGTTTCCATGGACATGTGCTTGATGAACGCTATGAACAAGTCAATGCCGCATTTGCTCACCCTCTTCCAAATGCTTATGTTCCGGTGTGGAGTGATCATTCAAATCCTTTCTAAGCTAAAAATTTTCAAAATCGATATATTCCTCCTCATCAAAGAAATAAAGGTTCAAAAGGATTTGTTTCATCTTCTTCTTATCATCAAAGAATGAATCATTTCACTCATCCTCAAGCTTATAATTCTCAAAGTAGCTCTAATAATCCTCATGAACTTTCTAGCAACTCCACATTTGAAGATAAGGTCTTAGTGGCTTTGAGTAGTTTGGAAATGAACACGAATTTGTTACATTCTCATTCTCAATCGATATCAAAGCTTGAGTCTCAAATCAGGATGTTAGCTAATGCATTGAATGCGAAAGAAATTGGTAAATTGCCTAGCCAACCCGAAAGGAACCCAAAAGCCTAATATCTTGTGGAAGCAAACTCTACATCAGGGTGCCCCTCCCAAGAGCAAATGCAAGCAATTACCACTTTGAGAAATGGTAGGTAAGTTGACAATAGGGTTGAACAACCAGTTGAAGGTAGTGAACCGGTGCAATTAAAAGTTAACACCCGTCCCGTTTCCAATCCTACACCTCCTTTCTTAGATGAAAGTGTCATCATCAAGAATTCTTAGCCCTCTTCATCTTTCCCCTAAGTTGCAAGGTCTTATGAGCCAAAAGTTCCATTTCCTTATACTTTGAAAGAAACTTTGCCTTTCGGAAGGCAAGAAAGAAAAATCCATGACATGATGGAGGTCTTTAAACAAGTTAACATAAATCTCCCTCTTTTAGATGCAATTAGACAAATTCCGCTTTATACAAAATTTTTAAAAGATCTTTGCACACAAAAGAGGAAGAGCAAGGGACAAGGCCCTAAAAAAGTGTTGTTAACGGAGCAAGTGAGCTCCATCATTCAACATAACACTCCACCTAAGTTCAAAGATCCCGGTGCTCCGACTATCTCATGTGTAATTGGAAACCATGAAGTTCGTAGAGCTTTTCTTATCTTAGGGGCGAGTGTTAATTTGATTCCTTACTCCGTGTATGTCCAACTAGGTTTGAATGAGTTGAAGCCAACCTCGGTGATGCTTCAATTAGCCGATAGATCCATTAAAACTCCTAAGGGCATGGTTAAGGACATTCTCATCAAGGTTGACAAGTTCTATTTCCTGGTTGATTTTGTGGTTCTTGATACCGAACCGGTTACTAATCCTACCAATCACATCCTAATCATATTGGGAAGGCCATTTCTTGCCACCGTAAATGCAACTATCAATCGTAGATCCAGGGTTATGGACCTTTCTTTTGGTAACATGATGGTTAAGCTTAATGTAAGTCAACATCCCATAGATGAAGATGAGTGTTGTCTCATAGATATCTTGGATGAGATTGTAGAGGAGTTCATTCCTTCCATGGTTATAAAAATACCAATTGAGGACAATCTTTCATCTCTTCTATCTGAGGATCCTCTTGCATCTTGTCTCCTTGAAATGTATGAAAATTGCGGGTTTGATAATGAAGGATCAATCAGCGAGGTTAATGACTTAATGGAATCCGTAGCAAGTTTGAATTTCCCCCCTTGGAAAGCACCAAAAAAACCTCTTCCTCCACTTTCTAGCATTTCACTGGTCCTATCTTTAGTCTCTCCACCCACTATTGAGCTTAAAAATTTCCCTCCCGATCTTAAGTATGCCTTTCTAGGCCCAAAAGAGACTCTTCCGGTCATCATCTCTTCAAATCTTGAAAAAGATCAAGAGAATGCTCTTTTGAATGTACTTAAAGAAAATAAGGAAGCTATTGGATGGAGTGTAGCGGATCTAAAGGGAATTAACCCATCCATTTGCATGCATCGCATTCTTATGGAAGATGATGTAAAACCTTTTAGAGATGCCCAAAGGAGATTAAATCCAAACATGAAAGAAGTGGTTAAGAAAGAAGTTATTAAGCTCTTAGATGCCGGTATCATTTATCCAATCTCTGATAGCAAATGGGTGAGTCCAACTCAAGTAGTTCCCAAGAAATCAGGGATTATGATGGTTGAAAATTTGAAAGGGGAAGCAATTTCCAAGCGTACCTCCAATTCGTGGCGTGTATGCATTGATTACAGCAAATTAAATGCCGCCACTAGAAAAAATCACTTCCCTTTGCCATTTATTGATAAAATTTTAGAGAGATTGGCCGGGAAACAATATTATTGCTTTCTTGATGGCTATTCGGGCTTTAGACCAAGAGAAAACCACATTTACTTGTCCTTTTGGAACATTTACTTATAAACAGATGCCATTTGGTTTGTGCAATGGCCCTGCCACATTCCAAAGGTGTATGATGTCAATTTTTTTGGACATGGTGGAAGAGTATCTAGAGGTCTTTATGGGTGATTTTTCTATTTTTGGGTCTTCATTTGATGCATGCCTCAAAAATCTAAATTTAGTGCTTAAAAGATGTCGTGAAATAAACCTTGTTCTTAGTTGTGAAAAGAGCCACTTCATGGTTCAAGAAGGTATTATTTTGGGTCATGTCATCTCGAAAAGGGGAATTGAGGTTGATAAAGCAAAAGTTGAGCTCATTTCTGAATTACCTCCACCTTCTATGGTGCGAGAAGTTTGCTCATTTTTAGGTCATGTTGGCTTCTATCGCCGTTTCATCAAGGACTTTAGCAAAATTGCTAGACCTTTGTGCAATCTTCTTGCCAAGGAAACTCCATTTGTCTTTGATCAAGCATACCTTGATGCTTTTCATAAACTACGTGACTTATTGTCATCTGCTCCTATTATGCAACCTCCTAGTTGGTCATTACCATTTGAAATCATGTGTGATGCCTCTGGTTATGCCATGGGAGCAGTTTTGGGGCAAAGGATAGGAAAACTTCCATGTGTCGTATACTATGTAAGCAAGACCCTCTTGGGAGCTCAATAGAATTACTCTACTACCGAGAAGGAATTACGTGCCGTAGTGTATGCCTTTGATAAATTTTGGTCCTATCTCTTAGGGTCAAAAGTCATTGTCTATTCCGCTTATGCTGATTTGAGGCACCTTTTGACTAAGAAGGAAACAAAGCCTCATTTGATAAGATAGATTTTGCTTCTTCAAGAATTTGATTTTGAAATTAAAGATAAGAAAGACACCAAAAATGTGGTTGCCGATCATCTCTCAAGGTTGGTAGTAGAATCTTCCCCGAGCCCACTAATTCATGATTCATTTCCGGATAAACAACTCTTCCAAGTTTCTAATGGATAAATGCCCTGGTTTGCCGACATCGTGAATTTTCTTGCAATAAGCAAGCTTCCGACCAATTGGTCAAAGCAAGCAAAGAAGCTTTCTTTGCTAACATCCGGAATTACTATTGGGAAGATCCTATCTTGTTTTGATATTGTCCAGATCAAATTGTGAGAAGGTGCATTCCGGAGAGTGAAATTCCAAGTGTGCTTGTGTTTTGCCATACCCTTACATGCGGTGGGCATTTTAGTGCAAAGAAGACTGCTTTGAAAGTGCTTCAAAGTGGGCTATTTTGGCCTACCATCCATAAAGATGCCTACAATTTTGGCAAGGAATGTGAGAGATACCAAAAAATGGGATCAATGTCGAGAAGAGACATGATGCCCTTGACAAATATTGTTGTTGTTAAAATCTTTGATATTTGGGGCATTAATTTTATGGGTTCTTTTCCTATGTCTTATGGATTTCAATACATTTTGCTTGCCATTGATTATGTTTCTAAGAGAGTGGAGGCTTGTGCTACCAAAACCAATGACCACTTCGTGGTTGTTCAATTCATTAAACCCAACATATTCACTCGTTTTGGTATGCCAAGAGCCATGATTAGTGATGGAGGAAAGCATTTTTGCAATCAATTCTTAAGGCAATTATTTCGTAAGTACTCCGTTACTCATAAAGTCGCCACTCCTTACCATCCTCAAACAAGTGGGCAAGTATAAGTTTCAAACCGAGAAATTAAACATATTCTTGAGAAAACGGTTAACATTACCCGGAAGGATTGGTCACGTAAGTTAAATAATGCTTTGTAGGTATATCATACGGCATGTAAGACTCCCATCGGTATGTCTCCTTATAGACTTGTTTATGGAAAGCCTTGCCATCTTCCGATTGAGCTAGAACACAAAGCTATATGGGCAATTAGAAAGCTTAATCTTGACCTTAACAAAGCCGGAGAGAATCGGTTACTCCAATTGAATGAGTTGGAAGAGTTGAGACACAATGCCTATGATAATGCCAAACTCTACAAAGAGAGAACCAAAACTTTTCATGACAAACACATTGTGAAGAAATCTTTTAAACCTGGTCAAAAAGCTTGGCTTTTGAACTCTAGATTAAAACTCTTTCCCAAAAAGTTGCGAACCAAATGGGAAGGCCCTTATGAAATCATTTCTGTTGCGCCCCATGGGGCGGTTGAAATTCAAAGTTTAAAGAATGGTAACACATTCAAGGTGAATGGGCAAAGATTGAAACCCTACATTGAGGGACAAGTTTTTCAAAGACATATGGAAACTTCCCTTTTGGTAGATCCAATCTATGAAGAGATATAGTGATGCACTCAATGTTCTCAAGAACGTCCAATTTCCTACATATTCTTGCATGTTCGATTGATCTCAAAGGAAGTTCGATCAATCGAACAGTCATCTTTGCGTCCAATCTCCTCTCTGTTCCATCGTGCGGAATATTCCTGCATATTTTAGCTCCCTGTGTATCGTGCAAACTTCATTCTAGATTGATCTGGAATTCTCAGATCGATCCAGTTTTTCCTTGGATCGATCTTAGTTCTGTACTTAGAAAATTTTTTGAAGCTTTGAAATATCACCTCTCTGTGCATCGATCGAACATGTCTGCAGGTTTTCACCAGTTGGATCGATCAAGATTTGATCGATCTATGCTTGATCGATCAGGTTGTTTTTACAAAAAAAAAAAAAAAAAAAAAAAAAAAAAAATTCAAAGCAGTATTCCGTCTTGCTAGAAACGTTAAACTTAGCACCCATACGACACATTGTATCTTTTATCTCTTGTATCATACATGTTTATTTTCATTTTTATTTCTTTATTTCTTTTTCCATTTTGTTTCATTGTACATACTTTCATAAAAAGAAAAATATAAAAAATTTTCCTATTATGCCCTTATGTGTACTCATGCTACTTTCTTATTTTCTATTGGGCTTAATCTCATATCTCTTTCATCTTGTGCTATATTACTTTCAATTGCATGCCTTGGTTATTCTTAAACCATTCGATATTTGATGTGAGTTTGCTAGTGTGGTCATTCAAGTAGGTTGTTGATTCCAAGTTTGGGGGAGACGTCTTTCGAATTGGATCACTACCGGGCTTCATGTCTATCTACCACAGTATACTCTTTCCATCTTTTCCATTGTTCTCATTACACATTGAGGATAATGTGTAGCTTAAGTTTGGGGGTAAGGTGGCTTTGTTGCATTCTATTTAAGTTGAGCTTTAAATGTATGATTGAGATTTGAGATTGATGCTAGCTATGATTTGATCTTTTAAGGACTATATTGCTTAAAATTTAAAAATTACTTGACTTGAGAGTCCAATACTCATTGTATACCTTGTGGTTGCCATTTGGAGTAAATTTTTTGAAAGATTGATATCTTGCTTGCACTTGTGGTCCACATCATCCTGATTTTGTGATTATTTTAAGATTCACTCTAGGATTCTACACTAGCACAGACGCACACTAGCATTCATTTGTGGGGTACATGCTTTGTTGATTATTGAATTGGTTATATCCCAATTGGGCTAGTAGTGCATTGAAAGCTTTCATTCTTGACAAAGGTGGATAACAAACCCTTTTCATTGAGTAGCCGAGATTCTAGCCTCATCAAGCACTAAATTTCTCATGCTGAAAGGTGGAGGGCCCAAACTCTAGGTTAATAATTAAATGCTAAAAAAAGGATTTGCAAAAGCAACAAAAAAGTGAGGACTTCTCTCAAAAGGTGAGAAGTGGGAAATGATTAGATGGAAGTTGTCTTGATTTGAACTTGTAAGTCCTTGGGGGTGCTTGAACACCTAATGCCCTAAAGCCGTCCGATTTGGGAGTCATTGACCTAACGCTCGACCTCATAGATCGCTAGAAAGCTTAATAGATCAACACATTGCACTATGCTTCCATCTTTGATCCTTAGGATTAGGAAAAAAAAAAAAAATTGAGTGAAAATAATAAGCGCACCTAGATGAATAAAACTTTAATAAAAGGTCCATTCTTTATCTTCATAATCGGTACTAGATTTGTGTGCTAGTTTGAGGGTAAGGATGTGATCATTTCTTTAGTTGGCTTAGATAACAACATACTTGATGCCAGTTCACTCAAAAAGAATTCTAGAGTTGTTTTGATTTGCATGATCATTTTCTTGATGTGTGGAGGACCGTACTTACTTGCTTGATGTTGAGATTTTGGGAGAGTGCTCAGAAATGGTTGAAAAATTGTATACTTGAGGTAGTTTTCTCCCAATGCTTGTTTGTAATATTGGTGCCTCTTTAGTGAGAATGAGCTTAATGTTTGTGGGTATCATTTTTGGAAACCCTCACGAGACTTCACTCGTCCGCTAGGGATAACCAAGGGGTTCAAAAGGCTTGTTGCATATGCTAAATACAATCGTGTTCCCTACGAAAGTGGCGTTATCCTTTTATTGCTTTCTAGTTCATAGTTGTATAGTCATTCATTTCATTCCTTTACTTTGTAGTTTATTGCTAGGGACTAGCAATATTTAAGTTTGGAGGTGTGATGAGCGTTGAAAAGCACGCATTTAAACTTCTTAAGCTCAAGTATTCTAGGACCTTTATCTATCTTATTTTCCCGTTTTAGATTAATTTCATGTTATTGCCCTTTTCAGGTGCTTATCCCCAAAATAAGTTAATTCAGCCAAATTAGAGCATAAAAGAAGTAATCTCAAGCTAAGTGGAAAAATGGAGCAAAGTGGTGGAAATCAGCAAACTTCGATCGATCAGGAATACTTTTGATCGATCTCACATTGATCGATCCCTCATCACCGAGATGGATCAAACCCCTTGTCCTTTTCCTCAAGAATTCCCATCTTCGATCGATCAAACTTTCTTCAGATTGATCGAACTTCTTTGATCTTATCCCAACCTACCACTTTTGTCTTTTGCCCAAAATATCCCAAAAATATCTCAGAATTGTCTTATTCCAAAAAGTTGTTGCTAAGGATTGATCGATCTGGCCTTACTTCGATGGATCTGGTCGGAGTTCGATCGATCTCATTTGAATTTGATCGATCAAACCTCCTCAAGTTTGAAATAAAACAGAGTCCAGCTCATTAAAAGATAGCTTGTGGTGTAATCATTGAAGGGACCCTAGTGCACGAGACTTGACCATTCGGTGTGACACTTGAGCTACCTATATAAGGATTTTGGGCCATTTTTACATCATAACTTAGATATCTCAATATATCTCATATCACATATCTTGGAGAGGAGGCTAGAGCTTAGAGAGACATACACTATTTGGGAGTTCTTCCATTCTTCTAGGGTTTCCATCAAGAAGAAGATCATTCCTACCATGAAGATGGCCCTTGAGGGTTGGATGACTACATCAATGAGTGGCTAAACATCTTCTTGGGGCTAGAGTTAGCCCTAAGCATGCCTTCTAGACCTTGATGTTTTATATTTTGATGGGATTTGTGTTGTAATCTTATCTTGACATTTGATTTATATATGAATCTTGTTTTTACAATGATTTGTGTTGATTAATACTTCCAATTGATCATTTCATTCTACCCATATGTCTATGTATGCTAGAATAGATGTTCATGTGTTTATCTTTTGGTTTTGTGATATTGATGCATGTCTATTTGTGTTGATACTATGAATCTAGAGATTGTCAAGGCATAGTGCTTAAATAGAATACTCTTGTGGTTTGTTTGATGGTTCATACTCATTTCTTGATGGATTGTGCCTCTACCTTAGTTTAATTAGTTTAATTTTCATGTCCTTAGCTTAGATGTAGTGTAGTTACTTTACTTTCTTAGATGTGAGGACAATCTATGCTTGTTGTTTGATGTTCCATACTTATGAATGCAAGTAGTATTATTCTCTAACTTGTTAGTGTATTGATTGTGAGCTTAAAGGAAGGAATAATGGCTTAGTTTGATATATTGTGCTATTCACTAGGTTGTCTAGATATTATATACTTAATTAGTCATCCATGCTTGTTGATTCAATCAATCACACCTCTTGGTATTACAACACATGTTTTCCCTCATTCATTACACATTGAGTGTCTAGAATGGTGATGTTTAGTGGTGACCTTTAGATCCTAAGACCTCTCTTTCTTGTTCTCTACCCTTTATTTATTTTAATTGCATTGTATTGAATTTATTTACATTGTAGTTTAATTAAGAAATCAAAACACCTTTTGATCACTCGACATACTAATCCGACCTTGTTTCTATCTTAACATAGCTCCCAATCCCTTGGGACAATCCCTACTCACCCTAGCTATATTAGTAGTTAGAGATAGTAGTGGCTTTTTATAAATTTAAAATTGGCCACACTTTCATTGCAATTTGGGTGTACACACGATAGCACACACCACCCCTATGGTTTTTTTTTTTTTTTTTTTTTTTTTTATTATTTTTATTTTTATTTTTATTTTTATTTTTTGTGCCACGGTAAAGGTCTATTATACTCTTTTGAGTTTTATACTATGGTTTAACCACGTGAAGTGATCATTAAACTCTTATGGACTCTAGAAGCCCTATGTTGACGTGAAATGATCATAGTACCCATCTGTGTCCTTGGGTTCGGGTAAGGACCCTATTAGCGATTCGGACCCCTAGGTTTAGGATGTTATAGATTTGGTATCAGAGCAGAGTTCAAAAATCTTTAGGACGATGGGTAGTAGCTTACTTAGATGGGACGGAGAGTTGACTTCATTTATTACACATTTTATGCTAAATGTTTAATGTTTTGAGAAGAATGGTTACTTGCTATGTTCTTATGTGCTTAAATATTAATGTACGCTAAATGCATGGCCATGTAAATAAAATGTGTATGTGATTTAAAGTATGTTTGATAGACTATGTGACTAGTTGCTAAACTGTTTATTGAAATGGAAGCACATTATCCGTGATAAAATTTCAAGTATGATGTACATTGTAATGGTAAGTAGTGAGCACGGTTTGTGCAGTACTATTTTAGATAGTAATGTGACAGGCATTTATGTATGGTTTATGCAAGTATATTAATGAAGAATGATGACTAGAAAAAATGCGTGATGTTAATCTTAAACGAAATGACACGATTGTATCCAAGTGTGGGTTACGGTCATTATATATGTTTGTTTAGATATCTGCGTATACAGTTGAGCATGGGATAGTCAATAGTATGGCAGGGTACTTGATACGACGTAGTTGTCGTGTGGGCTATGACTTGAGTAGGTGAGGAGCTCGGTTGCTTCAAGGTTTGTTGGGTACTAGTTCTTATCGAATGGATGGCGTATGTTTCTAGCTCGGGGATTGAGCTATATGGTGTGTGATTATTCCTATTTTCTCATTGTTGTTATAGTGTGGTGCTTGGGGCACGACTTTAGAATGATTGCATATAGCATAGTGCGGTGCCCAGGGTGATGTGTATAAGTTTCATGTGTTAGCGTATGGGGTTTTGTGACTGTAGAGGTCAAGCACACGATGTGAGGTTTTCGTGAGAAATGTATGACTTTAAGAGGTTAGTGTTTGTGACTTAGGTCACAGTTTGGTTGCGGAGGTTCTCTTCAAACCGACTTGTGGCAGGGGTGATAGAGATTGATGGAGTTATGAATATGGTCTAAAGATTCTAGACGTATGTTTCTCATACTTTAGTACGGCCTGATAAGGTGTGTTGAGTATGGTTGTTAAGGGAACTTGTTTGATCCAGTAAGTATAGGTTGACGTAGGTATTGGACAGAGTCATGCCAGTGACCGGTGACCTACTAGTTGATGTGATCCTTGGCGGTCTTGTAGGAGTCTGTTTTAGAGACTGGTTAGTTGAGAGGAAATTTCCATTTTGGAAACCTACGAAGGTATGTTTCCAAAATGGAAATTATACAAAGGTGTTTTGACTCTTGGCGAGTTAATTGTATGACACAGTTGTCGAGTGAGTCTTGAGGTAGGGAATGTTGGTCAGTTTTAGTTGGATAATGCAGAATTACATAATACGGGCAATTGTGGATGTTAAGGTGTTCAGTTGTTCATGAATGAGGTAGTGGGTGGTAGGTACCGTGTTACCTTGTAGATTGTATTTTAGAATCATAGAGCAATGAACCAGACTTGTACTTAGATCGTACTTGGGGTATCGGGAGTGGTACACATTGTCCAGAAGGGTAAAGTATTTATTGGAATGATTTAGGACAAGGAGGATCTCGTAGGATTAACACGTAGCCCTGTTTGATTTTTCGTTGGGGCCAAGGGCATCGTGGGATCGGTGAAAAAGAAGGTAATGATTTTGATGGTAGGGCATGAGGTCTTTTGATTGAGAGCAGGTTGCCTTATGAAGAGTGGTTTGAGTGATCGGTTAGGTGTCAGAGTTTGATTATTGTTTCGTGGTTGACCTTAGGAGACTGTTGTGTGTCGAGCATTATGGTTACGATGCTCATTTTATTTTTTTGAGATTTGCCGGTATGGCATTGCTGCACAGGGATTTTTATCCTCGTGGCAGGTTAGTGGTTGTTGTAGAGAGTGTCGAGAGTAATATATACTCTTGTTGTGTTAATTTTACTCGCAATAGAACGATTCCTTACAGAATAGTGCTATATAAAAAGCGATGTCGAACCCACAGGGAGACGAGATTTATATTTAGTCTTTAAATTTGTTCTATGGTTTACAGGTAACTTGGTTGGAAAGTTTGTTGGTTGTCACAGTTTAACAAACTTGATTTAAAAATTAAATAAAAGCAAAGTAAATAAATTTAATGATCAGAGAGAGAGGAATCATAGGGCTTTTACTTCACCACAACCATTTACTACAGTTAATTATACTAACTCTGGGAATTTAATAATGAGATTTTCCAAAGGAATTGAACTCAATAACATTCGTTCAATTCGGGTTTTAAAGAAAGATATTTTACAAAATTAGCTAACTATAACCTATCTGCGGTTAGCGTGAATTATCCGCCTACCTACTCTAACTACTTTAACTACATTAACTATGTTGCAAACAATCTACCTTTCCTAAGCATAGACTATGAAAACATTCTTTCACAAAATACGTTGGAATATTATTATATGACCTCTATTCTTGTGTCCAGCAGGGCCCCGCCAGATACCGTACAACAAGGTAGGTTGAGAATAGAAAACAGACTATTACATCTAAGACGAGGTAGTAACAGTTTATAATCTATTAAAGCATGAAAACCACTTGAGTTGTCTCAAGTGCTCATAGTCATATAATCAAGAAAATACATATATTAAAATTAATCCCAAAATTAAAACAATCAAACCATAGTATTTAGGTTGGGTTACATCAATGCCCTAAGAGAGGAATTAGCTACTCATAACAAGGTTGGATATCATTTGTGTTGAGTTCATCTCCTTCGTCACGGACGACACTTATCTTCCCAATATCTTCACTCTTAAGGTTGTAGAAACCCTAAAAGCCACCACACTTTCAGCCTTCTAAAAACATCGACAAACAGATTAAAATTACAGACCCCTTCTATCAGGGCGTAAGCCTTCTTTTATAGAAGAAAATAATATTTGGTGGGCTTTTAGGAAGAGAGCAATCCCGTACTTTAAATGTGACATGTCATGGAAGGCTCGAGCTTCAGGAACACAAGGCTCAAGCTTTATGGCAGAGGCTCGAGCTTCAGGAAGCATGCTCGAGCCTTTCTGAATGCATGCTCGAGCTTCAGTGAATGGTGCTCGATCTTTACATTGACACTTAGCTAATTTTCTTTAACTATTTTCTGAAGCATCTTTTTCTTCAACACTTAGCGTATTTCTGGAACTGGATTCTTTTAACATTGCTCAATCCATGCTTTTTGGGCTCGAGCACTAGGTATAAGGCTCGAGCAATTGGGACACCAAGCTCGAGCTTCTAGACACCAAGCTCGAGCTTCTAGACACCAAGCTCGAGCTTCAGTTGTTAGTGCTCGATCCTTAATGGATGGTGCTCGATCTTGGAGATGAGGTATAAGACTTGGGAGCATAGCCTTGCACTTGAATTAACTCTTTAATTGCCAATGCCTCATGCTCGAGCTTGAGGGTCAAGGCTCGAGCACCCTTAGTTAAGGCTCGAGTAATGTATGGTAAGGCTCGAGCTTCAAGGTACGAGGCTCGAGCTTTTGAGCCTTGTTGACTTTTCTTCTTTCTTTGTTGTGATGCTCGAGCCTCAACACTTAGGATCGAGCTCCAAGGCTTGAATATCTTCAAACTTCACCATTTAAGCTCTCGGCTTGCTCTGAATGACCGGCAACGACTCTGTAAGCTTCGATATCATCATAAAGTCTCGGTTTTAACCATTTCTCTAGGGAAGTACCTAGAAAGACACATTAAACATAAATTAGTCTAACTATGGATAGAAGTATCACTTTAAGCCTTAATAGATATGTATTTAGGGGCTCGAATATGATATATTCAGCGCTCATCACACCCCCAAACTTACTTATTGCTAGTCCCTTAGCAATACAAAACTAAAAAGCCATTTTAGTGGGAATCATGGTTGCATTTAGCCTAGGCAACAAGCCTTTAAAC